AAGACCCCTGCGAAAGGACGATTGTGAGATCACCGCTCAAGCAGGGAGCGTTGAAGTGGTTGAACAGAAGCTCTCCAAGGATTTAGGTCCTCTCACTGCCTATTATTATTATTGACACAAAAGCACAGTATGTCACAGCAAATGAGATCTATATGCTGGATATCATATCAAAAAATCACAAGTCGAACACTTCCCAAGCGTCTAGGACTGTGCGATGTATTTTCGAATGATGCGCGCAGATCCAAGTCAGGTGGCCTTTTGCAGTTGACAGATCATGATTTTGTTGATGTTTATTGTTTCCAAATGCTGGCTGAGATCTTTTGGCACAGCACCCAGTGTGCCAATGACCACTGGGACCACCTGTACTCATTTATGCCAGAGGATTTGCAGTTCAAATTTGAGGTCTTGATAGCAGCTGAATTTTTCCTGTTGTTTTTCCTCAATGCGACTGTCACCTGGTATGGCAACATCAATAATCCAGACCTTTTTCTTTTCCACAATCATGATGTCTGGTGTATTGTGTTCCAAAACGTTGTCAGTCTGGATTCAAAAGTCCCACAGTATTTTTGCATGTTCATTTTCCACGACCATTATTATTATTATTATTATTATTATTATTATTATTTGAAACACAACAAGATTAGTACACAGCAAAGAAGATCATTATGTTGGCTGTTGTATTGGATCACGCATTGGACACTTCCCAAGTGTCTATGACTGTGTGATGTACTGGCGAATAATGCGTGCAGATCTGAGTAGGGGGGCCTTTTGCTGTTGACAGATGGTTGTTGTTGTTATTGTTGTTGTTATTATTATTATGATTATTATTGTATCACCTCCAAGGGCCATCCAATTCAACCCCCTTCAACAGGCAGGAAGGCACCATCTGATCCCTCCTAACAGTTGGCCATAATAATAATCATCATCATCATCATCAACCAACTTCCTTCTGCCAGGCAGGAAGGCACCATCCAAGCCTTCCTGATAGATGGCCATCCAGCCTCTGATTATTATTATTATTATTATTATTATTATTATTATTATTAATATCATGTTGTTGTTGTTGTTGTTGTTGTTGTTGTTGTTGTTGTTGTTCAACCCCTTTCTGCCAGGAAGGAAGTGTCGTTGAGGGCATCCCAGACCCCTGCCTTCAAGCTGATCTGACCAGGTGCAGGGAGTTCCACAGTTCCTGGACGCCCAGTGTGGTTGCAACTGATGAAATGTGCCCCCGCAGCAGCTTCAACTAGGGACTCTCTGCAACCTAATGATTTTCTTCCTCTCACTTCCCAGCCCAAACTATGTAACAAATCCCTAATAAAGATTAATTGAATTGTATCTTTTAACCTTTCCTGACAGATACACTGTGTCCCTTTCCTGACTGAAACTGTCTCAATGCATGAACTTACCCTTTCCTGAGCCGCGGGCATCCGCCGGCTCACCTGGGATGCCTTTTTGGCATCCCGGGGAGGCTGAAACTGTGTTCCCTCAAACTGCGGATACTGAAGCCGCTTGGACCCCCGTATCCACAAGTTGACGGATCGCCTCCATTTTGGTGCCATATTTTTCCTAGCTAACTTCTAATCCTATCTGCCATCTTGCTTTTTCCATTTCGTACCCCTGCACTCAGGAAATAACCACTGGTTTTAAAATATTATTTTTAAAGGGAAAAACAGCTGATTGTCAAACGGCGAGCCTCGCTGCTGCTGCGCTACCGCGGTCCGTTCCTTCGCCCCATCTGGAGGGCCCCTGCCACGGAGACTCGATGTGGCCACCCCAGGAGGCCTTTTGGGGACCAGGCCAGTCAGCAGGCTTCAGCCCTTGGAGGAAAACATAGTTCTTCAAGGACCACGGGGCCAGCTTCCATCCTAGCACTGCTGGGTTTTGTGTTTTGGCCCAGTGGAACTCCATGGATTCCTTTGCGTGTTTTTTTTTTTTTGTTTCTGCCACATTTCTGGACTTCACTCTCCTCAAGGACTCACTCTCTACCCATGAACTTTCTTCAAAGACGACTTATGAATTCATGTTGTATCATGATATCGTTTGCTTTTTATCATTGTTATTATTAATTCCTCCGAAGTCACCATCTAATCCCTCCCGACAGATGGCCATTCAGCCTCTGCTTATTTTGAGCAGCCTGGCTGGTGCTGTGCAATATAGGGCCAACGCCACAATATAATAAGGGACTCTTAGAAGGGGCCCCCAAAGGCATCTAGTTTCTGATGACAAAGCTCAATTGGCATCTAGTTTCTAGTTTCTGATGTCAAAGTGAAAGCTCAATCTGTGGTGGCCCCTTGGCTATGGAATTCCCTCCCGAATGAAATTAGATCTGCCCGCTCCCTTGTTACCTTTAGGAAGCTAGTGAAAACCTGACTGTGGAACGAAGCTTTTGTGGAGTGATGTCTGAGACCGGCAATCGACCAAAGTTAGTGGCCACAATATATGGACTGAATATACGGACTGAGTTGGACACAATTTTATCTTGGTGAACGGCTTTGATGTAATTTATCCTATATGTATTTGGTAATTTAATGTTGATGTATGATGTTTTAGATTTTTAGTGTTAGCATTGAATCTTTGCTGTCAGTTGGTCTGAGTCTCTCTACGGAGGTAGAGAAGATTGGGACATAAAAGTTTTAAATAAAGATAAATAAATAAATATAAATAAATACTGCAAAATCCACAGACTCCGTTATCAGGACATGTATTTCCTGTGGATAAGACACGTCTTAAGATTTCCACCGTATGGAAATCTCCATAACGTTTTGGAAAGTGGCATCCACAACATTTTAGGAAAACCAGGAATCTTTTCAAAAGGCAAGACTGAAGCCGAGCATGCCCCCCCCCCCAAGGGATGGTAACTTATAGTTCTGCAAAGGGCAAGGGTACCAGACTGCACAAAGTCTTGGTCAATTTGCCAAGATGCTAACAACAACAAGGACCCCATGAGGCCTTCAGGGAAGAGCCTGGCCTTGGAGTCCCAGTCCTTGGTGGGAGTTATCGTTTCCCAAGGACCAAAGACTAGCTCAATCTTGGTGTTGCAGGAATCCATCCCTTGGCTCAATGGAAATCCCCAAGCTCCCTTTATGACTGCTGGACTTTCTGCGCATCATTTTTGGCTCTAATGAACTCATTTTCACATATGAACTTCCCCAGTATGAACCATGGACACATGTTTTATTAAAATTATTATTTTAATCAATTTCTCTGGCGGGTGGAGGGAGGGAGAGGGTGCTTGCTATGAATTTCTTGTGATTCCTATATTTTCCCATGTATTCTTTTCCTATAAAAATGTCTATGATCTCTGTAACCACATGCTCTGTAGCGAATGATTGCTACATTGCATCCTTTTCAGCTGAATCGCTAATAAAACACCTCGGTGCCGCTTCTTCAACTTTGGTGAGATTTATTTGGAATTTTTAAAGAAATAAAAATTGCTGAAATCAGGCTTCTCCTAGCTCATCAAAGTAGCGATCCCTCTTTGGTGAGGTCTCAGGGTCCCTCCTCCTGGGGAAGACCCTCCTAAAGTTCCTATCGACTCCAAGACCTTGTGAGAAATCATAACCTTTGGTAAAGTGTGATCTTCCCGAGAAAAGTTAAAAACTCTTCTCCTTAGTGGTAAATATCCACTAGCATTCATGTAAGACAATTAGGTTACTCAGTTTTTAAGCTGATATGCTTAGATATAATTTTGAACTGTTAGGGACAAAGATATGCCAATGTACAAAAAAATCTATATCTGTCTATACACATAATAAAAGTGAAAATATGTATGTGTATGTGACTGGGATGTTCCCTTACACAGACAAGCTCCTGCCTCCACAATCAGCTATAGCCCCCACTGCTCAGGAGACACCAAATAACAGCACCAAAATAACAACAGCATTGATTTTGTCATTTGTGAGTTGCAGTTGCTGGGATGTATAGTTCACCTACAAAAAAGAGCATTCTGAACTCCACCAATGATGAAATTGAACCAAACTTGGGAAACAGACCTCCCATGACCAAAATAAAATACTGGAAGAGTTTGGTGGGCATTGACCTTGAGTTTGGGAGTTGTAGTTCACCTGTATCCAGAGAGCACTGTGAACTCAAACAATGATGGATCTGGACCAAACTTGGCATGAATACTCAATATGCCCAAATGTGAACATTTGTGGAGTTTGGGGAAAATAGACCTTGACATTTGGGAATTGTAGTTGCTAGGATTTATAGTTCACCTACATTCAAAGAGCATTCTGAACCCTACCAACGATAGAATTGGGCCAAACTTCCCACACAGAACCCCCATGCCTTGAATGGACTCGCTGGCGAGAGCCTCCCTCCAACCTATCACGCTCTTCCTCACCCGCACATGCGCACCATGCTGCCATGTGCCAAGCAGGCTTGCTCCCCTCCCTGCTTGGAGTCTCAGAAACAGCTCTCCCCTTGGCTGAGAGGCCGGCCAATCACAGTGGAGGAGGGCTTTTGGTGGGAGGATTCATTATTTGGTTCCAAAAAGGAAAAGAAGGACAGGCAGAGAGATTTTCAGCCTTCTCTGTCAAACTGGTTCTTAAGATCATCAGAAATACATGTTTCCTGAAGGTCTTTGGTGGCCCCTCTGAAACCCCCTTGTGGCACCCCCAGGGGTCCTGACCCCCAGGTTGAGAAACGCTGGTTTAAAGCATCTCTCCATTCTGAAAGTCTAACAGAGTCTCTGTCTAGTGTGAAAGTCCAATGGAGTCTAATGGCTTCTGCCTTTACTGGCATTTGAAAGCATACTGTTTCAAAAATGGAGTCTGAGTCCTGAATAGTCCCAGATCTGATCACACAGTCTGCAGCCCCTCCCATAACATAGTTAAGGAAAACTGCATACCAGTACACGCATATGCAATACAGTAAGCAATCTGAATTATATACATAACAGATAATTAGTATAGGAGGCTTGTAGAAGGTGGCTATTTCCAACACAAGCGGCTCTTAGAGCCTAATATCTGCATTCGCTTTGAGCCGTGGTGGCCTACCTGGTCTGGCTGGTTTGTCACCTCCTCATCCAGCAGCGCCTTACTCTTGTTGAGGTCTGCGGCATCCACTTTGATGAGCCGGTGTTTGGGCGAGCCATACTTCCCCTCCGAAGGGACGCTGGGGGGTGGCTTGTTGGGGGAGCCCCCAGGGTCAGCCTCAGGTTTCCCCTCGCCATCTTCATAGGGGTCTTCGAAGTCCAAGCTCTTCTGGGCCCGGTAGGCTTTGAGGATCTCGCTCTCGCTGTAGTCCGGCTTGGGGGGCTGTGGGGGAGGCCGCCGGCCCCCAAAGCTCAGGTAGTCCTTCAGCCACTTGGCCATTGATGCCCTGGATCCGAGGGTCAAGACAGGCCGGAGGGAAAGGGGCGTCTCAGGCCGGGAGAGCAGTCCCAATGGGCCTTGTATTCCAAGTTAAGAGGAGCCTGCCTTCTCCTCCGCGAACCCTGCCATAAAGATAAAAGGGTTGTATGCTGTATGTGTTAAATGTGTTTATTAAAGATTTTGATACGACCAATGGGCTAATCAATAAACATATGTATGTATGTATATGGTTGAAATGATTGTATATCCCATAATAGATCCCACTTGAGGGGGAATAATCCAACTGTCCGATGGTAGAATCATAGAATCATTGAATTGGAAGAGACCTCATGGGTCATCCAGTCCAACCTCCTGCCAAGAAGCAGGAAAATCACATTCAAAACACCCCTGACAGACGGCCATTCAGCCTCTGTTTCAAAGCCGCCAAAGAAGAAGGCAGAAAGTGAAAGGAATGATTAGGATGAGGACAAGGTTAAATGTCATGATGGTGATCATTCAAGCCCTGGCAGATCGTGCACAAAGAGTCTGCGAACCCAACTTCCTCCAAGGTGAACTGAACCACCTCTCTGGGCCAATGGAGACTCCACCACAGACATCAGAAGAGCTGCAAGGCCAAGAGCAAGACGTGAGAGTCAAGACAAAGATCCACCCAGAGGAAAAAGGTTCTTGCTATACATCCTGGGGTGGCTCAAAGCAGTATGCAAGGTAAGCATTTGCTTACCACTCCAATCCCTGGGGGGCGCTCTTGAGGCAGCCTTCCTGCTCCTCTGAGGAAGAGAGAGAGGAAGAGGGCAAGGAGAGAGAGAGAGAGAGAGAGACTGCCCAGAGGGAGAGGGCAGAGTGAAGGTCATTTGCATCTCCAGGCCAATCGACCCCTTTCATGTCTTGCCCCATGACCCGCTGACAGGGCCGTAGCCAGAAAAAAATTTCGGGAAGGGTTGAAATTTTCGGGGGGGAGGGGAGTTGAAAATTTTGTGGGGGGGGGGTGTTGAAACCTGCCTTCTAGCTCACGCTGAAGCAAAAGCAAAGAGCACAGCAGGGGGCAGAGCAGCCTTCAATAGCCTGCAGCTCTGCCCCTGTCAACCACCTCCACCAAGTCTGGCCTCCTTAATGAGAGCATTCAACACACACACAACCAACTTGGTTGCTTCACTACATCGGCTATTCCTGCAAGTAATGACAGTGTGAATAAATTGTCAATATTTAAGGCCTTGCATGGTCTGGGGCCGATGTACCTGAGGGACCGCCTCATCCTCTGCCAACCCCAGAGATCCCTCCGTTCTGAGGACCAAGATCTATTGGAAATTCCCAGTGTCAAAACCTTGCGTCTAACAGCAACCAGACGCAGAGCCTTCACAGCAGTGGCACCATCACTCTGGAATACTCTGCCACCTGAAGTCTGTGCCTTGCGGGACTTATCAGCTTTCCGCAGGGCATGTAAGACATATCTGTTTCAACGGGACTTTGATCTCTGATATTGCTGTTTTTAAATTGTTTTAAATTGTTTTTAAATTGTGTTCGATTTTAGCCTGTTTTTGTAAGCCGCTCCAAACCCCAGGGGAGTGGCGCCATATAAGTTCGAATAATAAATAAATAAATAAATATTTGCTTGAGATAGTGTTAGCAGTTCTGGAAACAAGTCCTTTCGAAAGTAAAGGGAGTTGCTTTCAAGAAAAGAAAGCAGGGATTGTGGGATCAGAGGCGGCCCTAGGTAATTTTCAACAGTAAGCAAACAGTATTTTAGTGCCCCCCAACCAATCATTGATATATATTTTCTGTTTGTCGTGGGAGTTCTGTGTGCCATATTTGGTTCAATTCCATCATTGGTGGAGTTCAGAATGCTCTTTGATTGTAGGTGAACTATACATCCCAGTAACTACACTTGCCGCACTTGCTCCCTTGCCTGGCCCGCTTTGGGTCCGGAGGCGTGCCTGAGGACCTCGGCGTGTGCACCAAAAGTCACCTCTTCTCCTGACTTTCTCCTCAGCCATTGGGACCGAGAGAGAGAGAGAGGTGGAGATGCCCACCTTTCCTGAAGGTAGGCGCAAAAACAAAGGAGGGAGCGGAGGTGGGAGATACCTCCAGCCGGAGGGGCTCTCTCTCTCTCTCTCTCTTTCTCTCTTGGTCCCAATGGCTGAAGAGAAAGTCAGGAGAAGAGGCGACTTTTGGTGCACACACTGGGGTCTTCAGACACGCCTCCAGACCCAAGAAAGCCGAGGCTCCCCCCGGACTGCGAGGGCTGTTGTGAGCTGAGGGGGCGCTCCTCAAGTGGCGGTCGAGGGGCATTTACAGAGGCGCCTCTGCGCCCCTGGCAAAAAAAAAGTGTTCTGCAACCACTTACTTCGCATAATGGACGAGCCGCCCCTGTGTGGGATTTTAGTCAGCTGAGTGGAAGGAGCCTGAGTGCCCCAAAGCCCCCTCCCCTAAACTGTACATTCTAGAGTTTCATATTATGGAACCATGAGAGTAAAAAGTGGAATCATCGCTCTGTAATTGAGTGGTGTGTCTTTTTACCTTCCCTACTTGTCCACACAACGATATAACCCAGAATATCAAGACAGATAATCCACAATATCTGCTTTGAACAGGGCTATCTGAGTCCACACTGCCATATAATCCAATTCAATGTGGATTTTATACAACTGTAAGGAAGGGGCTTGAGAAAGCAATTATTGTCTTCTTTCCACACTGAAGCCAAAGACCTCACCTACACTACCATATAAAATCCAAATTATCTGCTTTGAGCTGGACTATATCGCAGTGTAGACTCGTTCAAAGTTCAAAGCAAATCTAGTTCAAAGCAAATATTGCCCTCCTTTCTCTGTAGCCCCTTCTACATTGTCATATAACCCAGATTATCCAAGCAGATAATCCACATTACCAACCCCAGAGATTACTTCGGTCCGAAGACCAAAATTTGCTTAAAGTCCCCAACATCTGGACTTATCATCTGTCGTCTACTAGGCAGAAAGCCTTCTCGATTGTGGCCCCTTGTTTATAGAATGCCTTGCCAGTTGAAACCCGACCCATCCGAGAGCTACTTGCTTTTCGGAAAGCCTGTAAAACCTTTCTTTTCCGACACGCTTTCGATGGGTGAATAACTCGGGACTATGTCTGTTCTCATTTTTATTGTATTTTAAAGTTGGTTGTATTGTTTTTAATCTACTGCTGTAAACCGCTCCGAGCCAAATTGGGAGTGGCGGTATACAAGTCAAATAAATAAATAAATAAATAAATAAATAATCTTCCTTGAGCTGGGCTATATGAGGCTGGATCTACACTGCCACATAAAATCCATATTATCTGCTTTGAACTTGATTATATGGCAGTATAGACTCATAAAATCCAGTTCAAAGCAGATAACGTTGATTACCTGCTTTGATAATCTGTATTATATGGCAGTGTAGAAGGGGCCTGAGAGGAAAACCTGTAATCTAGTGCCTAGAAAAAATGCCCCCCTCCCCAATTCTTGCAAGTGCAGCAGATGATCTACCATAATTATAAATAAATTACAATTATAATTATTTTAATAATAATTAAATAGTTATATAGCCTAACCAAAAAAAATTCTTAAATGTCTTCACTTTTAGGCTTGTTCCTGGATTTATTTGGGGCACTGATTCAGAAAACTGCACTGCATGGATCACATTCATTCTAGGCCCCCTTTACCATATAATCCCGATTGTCAAAGCAGATAATCCACAATATCTGCTTTGAACTGGATCATATGAGGGCCCTCCAGATAGGTCCTATATCCCAGGATCTGATCCCAGGTTTTCTGTTTATCTCAGATTATCTGGCAGTGCCAACTGTCTGGTAGGGCCCAGAGTCTACAATGACATATAATCCAGTTCAAAGCATATAACCTAGACCCCTGCCCATCCTGGCTGGTAAAGGAGGCCAGAGGGGGCTTGGCAGAGTGGGTAAAGGTGGTGGTTAATGCCTCCCTTCGGGAAGGCAATATTCCAGCCAGCTTAAAACAAGCTGTTATAAAACCGCTGTTGAAAAAGCCATCACTGGACCCCACTCAATTCATCAACTTTCGGCCAATCTCCCCTTTTTGGGCAAAGTCCTGGAACGTGTGATGGCCTTGCAACTCCAGGAGTTCCTGGTAGACACAGATTATCTGGATCCGGCACAGTCTGGCTTTAGGCCGGGACATGGTACCGAGATAGCCTTGGTCGCCTTAGTGGATGATCTTCGCCGGGAACTAGACAGGGGGAGTGTGTCCCTGTTGGTTCTGCTGGACCTCTCTTCGGCCTTCGATACCGTCAACCACGGTATCCTTTCGGGTCGCCTCGCGGGAATGGGCCTTGGGGGTACTGCTCTGCAGTGGCTCCAGTCCTACCTCGAGGGTCGATCCCAGAAGGTGTCGCTAGGGGGCTCCTGCTCGACCCCACGGTCATTGTCCTGTGGAGTCCCGCAGGGTTCAGTACTGTCCCCTATGTTGTTTGACATATACATGAAGCCGTTGGGAGAGATCATCCGGAGTTTCGGGGTGCAGTGTCATCTGTACGCAGATGATGTCCAACTCTGTTACTCCTTCCCACCTGCTACTAAGGAGGCTGTTCAAGTCCTGAACCGGTGCTTGGCCGCTGTAACAGACTGGATGAGGGACAACAGATTGAAACTAAATCCAGACAAGGCAGAGGTACTCCTGGTCAGTCGCAAGGCCGAACAGGGCATAGGGTTACAGCCTGTGCTCAACGGGGTTACACTCCCCTTGAAGGCGCAGGTTCGCAGCTTGGGAGTGATCCTGGAGTCATCGCTGAGCCTGGAGCCCCAGGTCTCGGCGGTGGTCAGGGGAGTTTTTGCACAATTAAAACTTGTGCGCCAGCTGCGCCCGTACCTTGGGAAGTCTGACTTGGCCACGGTGGTCCATGCTCTGGTTACATCCCGTTTAGACTACTGCAACGCTCTCTACGTGGGATTGCCTCTGAAGACTACCCGGAAGCTCCAACTAGTCCAACGAGCGGCACCCAGATTACTAACAGGAGCAGGGTACAGGGAGCATACTACTCCTCTGTTGCGCCAGCTCCACTGGCTGCCAGTCAGCTTCCGAGCACAATTCAAAGTGCTGGTGTTAACCTATAAATCCCTAAACGACTCTGGCCCAGTTTAC